AAAAATTAAAAAACAAGGAGGGCCAACAACCCAAGCTAGTTGTAATGAAGAGTTCAAAAATGCTGATGAGCCTATATTTATTTTAATTTTTTAAAGGTCATTCCTAATTTCTTGAAAAAAAAACAACAATAAGCAACGTGCCAGACAATGTGTGCTTACAAACTTGGATTCCCACCACCATTATAGTAATCAGAAAACTAGGGCAAGAACATTTTTTTTCCACCAAACCTATTTTTTTAGCCATTTACACTAAAAAAACACATAACCAACACCTTTATAATATCTAAAAACTATTCTATCAACTCTAAATATCCAAAAACCCGAAATCAAATTGAGTTAGCTATGACTTTGCTGGCTTAGATCTAGTTTTTTATGCAACATTAAAACTTCAAACAACCACCATAAAATCCCTTTTATCTAAAGAAACTCGTGTATTGTGACATGCACGATATCAAATGATGAATCTACTACTTAGAGTTAAAGAGGTTTAGGGTTTAATCATAAAGTTATTATTCGAAGGACTCATCACTTAATATTATGATTACTAGAAAATACATGGTCTATGAGAGCTTGATTAACGGGACTACTTGTGTAAAAGAAAGACATGTTACTCCTAGTACATCATATCTAAGGTATTTTACATTGTTTATTTATTATTTTTCTAGGTTATGTTTTTATCAATTGGTTTCATCTAAGGTTTAAAGCAATTTTTCTTTCATGAGGAAATTTCTATCTTATTGGGTTAAATTCTAATCATTCTAAAGCTCAAATTTAATATCACATTTATTTTCTATTTTGTGTCTTTAGTACTTGAAGGTATATTTCAAAAATATAGTTTTACATCCTAAATATTAGAGTCTACAACTAAATCATAATACTCTAGATACAAATTAATAGTTGCGAGATTTTTGATATTTTAGTATAATTCTAATAGATAATTATAAACTACTTATAATATACATTTTGTATTTTTAAAACATAATTAAAAATATTATTTTATCTTTTAGAAAATATGCATGAAAAAGAAGCCTTTAGGATTTGACCATATACTTGAAAACAATATATATATATATATATATATATATATATATAGATTTCTTTAAATTTTTTTAATAAAAATGAGTATTTTAAATTTGAAGTTTGTATTTGCCTAACATTTTCCTCCTTGCTGTATGTGCTGAATTTATATTTATGCTTAACATAAAAAATAAAATTAAAAGGAAATAAAGTGAAACAATGAGAAGTAGTTCAATTAATCAGACTGTAAGTTTGTTTTCTACAAGTTACTAGTTTGAATTTCATAAACTTTAATATCACTAAAAACTTATATAGTCTTTAATTTTAGGATCGATAGGATTAGTTAAATTACATGCAAATTAACATGAACATTCATATTATAATGTTTCTTTATAGAATACAAGTCATTTTGACTTGTGGAAGAAAATATTTATCATAAAAGTAACTAGGTTATACTTTTTATCTAAAAATATATTAAAATATTTTTTTTAAAATATTTTTGATATTAACATATAAAAATAATTTTTAAATATATATTTAATTTAAGAAAAATTAATTTTTTTAAAAATATTTTTAAATCTCAACAGTGAAAAGAAAGGAAAGAGAAAACGTGTCGGCTATTATTGATGACGTTGCCCAAGACTTGATGCTCTTGATAATTTCCAGTGACAAAGACTTGCACTTCACGTGGAAGCTGAGATGACTAGGAAGCTGAGGCATCTTTCTTTTTACACATACTATCAGTAACGTCCACAGAGGAATAGCAAATGGTTTCTGCCTATGAGCTTCAGGCTATCGACCACATCTGAACCATTGAAATTATTTTTCCCACGTGTCATATCTTAACCCGTTAAAATAAAATATTGTTGTGTGGTTGATTTATAAATTAGCTATGGGTTGAAACTTCGAAACCATTTGTCTTTGTTTTTATTTTTCTATTCTGAAAGTGTCTTAAAAAGATTTAATTTTTTAATTTTTAATTATTTTTTTTGTTTTTCTAAAATATTTTGATGTGCTAATATTAAAAAAAATTAAAAAAATTATTTTAATACTTTTTAAATAAAAAACTATATAAAAAAACAACAAATACTATAATATAACACTATGCCAAATAAATTCATCAAACCAAAATTCTAATTGAAAATGTTATTACCTAATATTTTCAAATAGTATTTTTAATATTATATATAGGGCAGTTGTGAAGTGAATGGATATTCAAAGTAAAATTACCCACCAAATTCTCATTGCTCTCAATTATTACTTCCATACCCACTTCGACATTATCCTTTTTTTGTGACCATGCTGCTGATAAAGCACGACAAGTCGTTTCATCTTCTTTACGTGCTTATTGTGCTTCTATTGCTCATGAAACTTGCTCCTGGGTTCATTTCTGGAGTGAAAGGGGCAACTTTCGGGTGCATAGAGAGGGAGAGACAAGCCCTTCTCAAGTTTAAAGAAGACCTTATTGATGACTTTGTTCTTCTTTCAACTTGGGGAAGTGAGGAAGAGAAGAGGGATTGCTGCAAATGGAGAGGAGTTGGATGCAACAATTGAACTGGTCGTGTTACTCATCTTGATCTGAGTGGCCTTAACCTTAGTCAGACGATTGACTGGCTGCAATTGCCTAACAGGCTCCCTCACTTACATGAATTGTCGTTAAGTTCTTGTGGCCTTTCAATTATCGGTTCTCCATCTCTTTCTCTTGTAAACGCCTCTAAATCTCTTGCTATCGTTGATTTCTCTGGTAACCAGCTTACATCTTCAATATTCTATTGGTTGGCCAACTTGGTCATGACATGCACGATATCAAATGATAAATCTAATACTTAGAGTTAAAGGGATTTAGGATTTAATCATAAAGTTATTATTTGAAGAACTCATCACTTAGTATTATGATCACTAGAAAATACATGGTTTATGAGAGCTTGATTAACGAGACTACTTGTGCAAAAAAAAAGACATGTTACTCTTAGGACATCATACCTAAGGTATGTTGTATTGTTTATTTATTATTTTCTAGGTTATGTTTTTATTAATTGGTTTCATCTAAGGTTTAAAATAATTTTTTTTTATGAGAAAGTTTCTATCTTATTGGGTTAAATTCTAATCATTCTAAAGCTCAAATTTAATATCACATTTATTTTCTATTTTGTGTCTTTAGTACTTGAAGGTATATTTCAAAAATATAGTTTTACATCCTAAATATTAGAGTTTATAACTAAATCATAATACTCTGGATACAAATTAATAGTTGTGAGATTTTTGGTATTTTAGTATAATCCTAATAGATAATTATAAACTAATTATAATATACATTTTGTATTTTTAAAACATAATAAAAATGTTATTTTATCTTTTAGAAAATATGCATGAAAAAGAAGCCTTTAGGATTTGATCATATACTTGAAAACAATATATATATAATTTTAGATTTCTTTAAAAAATTTTAATAAAAATAAGTATTTTAAATTTGGAGTTTGTATTTGCTTAACATTTTCCTCCTTGCTATATGTGCTGAATTTATATTTATGCTTAAACAACATACATAACAAATGCAATTAAAAGGAAATAAAGTAAAACCCTGGGAGATGTAGTTCAATTATTCAGATTTTAAGTTTGTTTTCTAGAAATTACTTGTTTGAATTTTATAAATTTTAGGACCACTAAAAGTTTATATAGTTTTTAATTTTAGGATAGATAAAATTAGTTAAAGTACACACAAATTAACATGAACATTTATATTAATTAAAACAACTAAACAAAAAAAAAATTTAACTTCTAAATTATAAAAAGATCGAGTTGACTATAATGTTTCCTTGTAGAAGTAGATGTGGAAGAAAATATTTATCATAAAAGTAATTAGGTTATACTTTTTATGTAAAAATAATTTTAAAATATATATTTAATTTAAGAAAAATTAACTTTTTTAAAAATATTTTTAAATCTCAACAGTGAAAAGAAAGGAAAGAGAAAACGTGTCGGCTATTATTGATGACGTTGCCCAAGACTTGATGCTCTTGATAATTTCCAGTGACAAAGACTTGCACTTCACGTGGAAGCTGAGATGACTAGGAAGCTGAGGCATCTTTCTTTTTACACATACTATCAGTAACGTCCACAGAGGAATAGTATATGGTTTCTGCCTAGTAGCTTCAGGCTATCGACCACATCTGAACCATTGAAATTATTTTTCCCACGTGTCATATCTTAACCCGTTAAAATAAAATATTGTTGTGTGCTTGATTTATAAATTAGCTATGGGGTGAAACTTTGAAACCATTTGTCTTTGTTTTTATTTTTCTATTCTGAAAGTGTCCTAAAAAGATTTAATTTTTTAATTTTTAATTAATTTTTTTGTGATTCTAGACTATTATTTTGATGTGCTAATATTTAAAATAATTAAAAAAATTATTTTAATATTTTTTAAATAAAAAAACTATATAAAAAAACAACAAATACTATAATATAACACTATGCCAAATAAATTCATCAAACCAAAATTCTAATTGAAAATGTTATTACCTAATATTTTCAAATAGTATTTTTAATATTATATATAGGGCAGTTGTGAAGTGAATGGATATTCAAAGTAAAATTACCCACCAAATTCTCATTGCTCTCAATTATTACTTCCATACCCACTTT